GTGCTTTTAACATCACTTTTCTCTAGATTCAGCCTGATCTCCTCCAGAAAGAGTTCCTGTTTCAATTCTTTAACTGCTGTATTATGTCCCAAAGATGCATTAAGCAGCTGGAGTCATGTTGAATAATCAGATGGCACCTTGTTCACTCTCTTGAAGTGACCAGTGGTACAAAATCCTATTACACATCAGACAAAAACACATTATTTGCACAACCTCTGAGATTGTAGCAAAAACTCAGTAACAGGTAAAACTACCTTCCTGCCTACACAGGCCCTGATCTAGCTTGGTCCATGAGCACTCACCTAAATTTAGGTGCCTGTTTATCAAACTGAAATCAAGCATCTTTTGCTGCATGGGTAAGTGCTTTGTTAATCAGGGAACTTGTTTAAGCCATGTGGATGTTTAATATTCAAATATAATCATCTAGGGAGGGAGGGAGCTCTGAGCAAGTCTCATCCTGATTTACCTAGCTCTGGGGAAAGCAATGACAGCTCAGCCAGCAGTATGACAAAAACTCTGTCCTCTGAATGTCTTCCAGAGTTTGCAGAGATTTTACCTTAACCTCCTTGATGGTGCTCTAAAGAGGAAGGGCAATCATATGCTCAGTGTTCCAGACAGCTAAGATATCCCCAAGTCTGTAAGGACTAGATTTATAATTTTTTTAACTCTCAAGAAGAATGGAACAAGAAGAGAGTAAAATCTCACACTAATCTTGTTATGCTCCTTAGATGAATGACTTTCACTTGACAGTGAAGGTAATGCCAGTTCCTTGTCAGTGAAGCAGCAACGAAAGARAGAAGTGGGGGAGATGGCAGTACAAGGGTGCCCTCCTGCTCCCAACATCTTCCTTGCTGGTCATTGCTCAGGATTAGCAGCTGGAATCACTGTAGAGCTGGACGCATCAGAGACAGCTCTGCTCACTGAGTACAATGTGATGACAAACAACCAAAGAGCAGATACCTTCAGGGGCACTTCATGCCCACGCACCTCACTCCATCTTCTCCTGACAGKAGCATGTTTCTTTTCTTCTTTCATCCCTCCCTCCCTCCTTTAGGAGCTGGSCAGAGGCTGTGGGGCTGCAGCTGGYTGCCTACAGGGTTGCTAAGGGGATGCAAGGCTCTCTTGCAGCTCAGCTGTCTGCCAGAGGAAACAGGGATTTGTTCTAGGCAGTGGATCCCACCAGATTTCCATGCAAGCCTTCACATTCTCATAGATGTGACATGCCTTCATTAATGGGGACAACTGAAGGGAACGAGACACCGATGAGAAGCACTCTAGGCAAAAAAAAAAAAAAAAGTAATTCTGGGTAGGGCATGAAGACACAAGAGGATTTCACAAATAAAGTAATCAGGATCTTGCATGGTTGTTTTGCAACCCAAGAGAGAGTCAGCACCAACCTGCCTCTTGTCATGAGGATGTTATTTCTTCATGAAAAGTTTAATAAAAGAGTTCTCCATACTGAAAAGAAAGAATTGCTTCTCAAAAATGGTAATAAAAGCCCCATTTTTCTGACACATAGCTTGCTTTGTACAAGATCAATTAGAATTGCTGCTCTTCTCCTTGTCCTTACAAGTAGAGCAAGCAGTTGACTTAAGAAGATAAGATATTTTTCTTGATTCAAGTTTTCTGGTAAAAGAATATATTAACTTTCAAAAGCAAAGTCATTTCCAAAACAGGAGCTAAAATTAGACTGATTTTTTTTTTTTTGTTCTCTCTTCTCTCTATGGCTTTTACAAGCAATTACCCACTTAATGTTTTGAAATTATACAAGAAACTTCAAYAGCAATTCTTTTTCCTGCTGCATCTCCTTGAATGTGAAGATTTAAAAGCTTTTCCGGAACAAACAGCGTGAGCAAATGAATTTGCCATTTTCATTCTCAATTTCTTTTTTTTTAAAGAATGGGAAGCAGCGGGGTATTTCTTCATCAYTGAACTTTTTTTTTGTTTGTTTTAAATTTTATAATGACGAAGTAAGCCTGCATGACAGCTCTAGAAACCGAAGGCAGGATTCTTCTTTGCACCACATCCTTTCATGTTGCTGTAGGAGTGCTGCTAAAATAGCTGGAAGGACTATTACRCCAACGCATCTCTTGAGCCTCTTTCTTATGGCAGGGTGGCAGATACAAATTTAGCATTCCTGCTCATGTGAACATCCCACATCGTGCATAACCCATACAAAGAGCCAGCCATGTGGGGAGCTGGGGATCCTGCAAAGYAGGGCTGCAGGAAGCGGTGAGACAGAGCCATGTGGCAGTGCTGTGGAATCCATCTGGCCCTGCACCTGGACCCCCTGGTCAGACTGCAGCCATCCTGTGGAGCCCAGGGCAGGACAGAGGGTGACAGGCTGTATCACCTGCTGTGAAAGGAGAGGGCTGCCAGCCATTCAGGCTCAACAGCCCCACGCAGCCGGAGTGGTGTTGATGTGCCTCAGTGTCATGTGGATGGGCACGAGGTGTTGGTAATAACAGAGCGCTGGGCTGCCAGTTCTCCTCCCACCACCTCCCCTGGGCTCTCGGGGTGGAATTAGGGGCACTCACCTTAGTGGAGGAGGCAAGMCTAACCTTTATCTCCTGCCCCAGCTGTCCCCTGGAGGAGGGGTTTTGTTTGTCCCTCTCTGTCACATGCCTGCCTGCTGAGCCCGCAGCAYTGGAGTGTCGCTGAGCTGGCAGAGTGTGTTTGGCTGTCACAGCTCAGGAGTGAAAGGCGTTCCTTTTGCCAGCAAAGCAAYACCCATCTGAAGCGCGAGCTCTGAAATCTGGAAATAAAATGCAAATCCAGCTGGGTCAGGGAAATAAAAACAACTCAGGCTCTCTGTTCTGCTCCAAGTTTTGTCTGCAGGAAGGTTAAGAGGCAGCATCAGTTCTTGTAAAGAAACATGTTTCTACCTCCACCCCTCACTCCTGGGACCCCTTCAAAATCCCCTGTGGCAGGCAGTGCCTTTGCTTCCACTATTTCCTTACCATGACTACCTTTGCTATAGTCTGACAAAGCCCTGGAGAATAAACCATCTCAAACTCACCCATCTTGTGTTGTGCATCTCTCTTCTCATTAAGATTGAATCTTTTCTCAGGTCACAGTACACCATAACTTCTCCCTCCAGAGTTTAACTCAGTCTCTCTTATTACCTTACTTTATCATCCATTACCAYCAAAATGAGCTTATATCTTCTGTTACATTAGGGCATTCATAAAATACTGCAAGCACAGCTTCAGGAAGGCACCTTCCTTGGGACTTTCATGCTTGAATTCATGAAATATTCTCATTATCTTCCTTTTTGTTGCACCTGTAGGAGATTACTTCTCAACCTCACAACTGGTGTGAGGCCAGTCAGGATGTTTTACCAAGAGCCATATGGATGGAGCAAAAGTGACCTCACTTGAGGACTTCTAGGACTGTCAGAACTGGAACCACCCTATGAGTTTCTCACTAGTATAAGTTCTGATAAAACCCCTTCACAGCCTTTTTCAGCTGGGTCTGAGAAGGAGAGAAACTTACACTGATAAACATCTGTCTTCAGAATGTGCAGTGGGAGGGAAAGAGCTGGCAGGTTCCTCTAGACTCAGACTTTTGGAGTTCAAAGTAGTGAAATACTTAAAAAAATATGAGGAGGGAGGGAATCCATCTTCCAAAGCTCAGACTTTCCTCATGCCAATCTGCTGCAGCCATAAACACTGTCAATGGAGAAAATGGAAATACAGCAAGGCAGCATTGAACTGACCATGAGTGCATCAGTACGCTGGGATTTTGGATTTCACAAGGGCCCTTCTCACAGGAAGGCTCATGTAACCATGGCAATGGAAATTTCTGGATGTATTTCATCCTTGTCCCCAATAACAAACAAGTTAAATCAGCTGCAGATAAGAGAGATTTTCCCACTCCTCTTTGTACAAAACAGTTCAGAATTGCTAGGAATAAAAGACAACTTCAGAAGAAAAACAAAGTTCCAAGAACCATCACAACTCTGATTTTTATTCAACAGTGAAGTGGAAGGGAAAGGTTGTTTTTTTCCCTTCAGGGCAAATGTTCCAAATGGAAATTAAGTAAAAATATTGTTCCCCAAAAGTACTCACAATGAAATTAGTTTTCATTAAATATATTTGTTTGGCAAAATAAAATAAAAAAATTAGAACCCGTACAAAAGAAATCCCTTGCAAATTTCTAACACTGTAGCAATGACAACAATGTAAACCTGGATGTTTGGCAGTTGTAATTAATTTGTGAAAATTACTGTTGAACTTTGGACCAAGGAAATAAAATTCACTTCAAATAGCAACAAGCCAATTTCAGAGGCAATCGAGGCTTAGGGAACGCTACAGGAATGGGACACACTAGTGGCTTCATACACTGTTTGTGCGAGTGATCTGCTAGTGTGGGGCTATCGTAAGAGCTGGGAGGAAAAGAAGTTAAAAGCTGTTGCAGCATTGCAGCGTATGGTACAGCAAAATCCTGCAGACTTTCCGTTCTGGGAGCGATCGGTTGGGTGAAGGCTGGAGGCAAGAGCTGAGATGACGGCGGAGAGAATAATGACAGTGACGGATGGCGCAAGCACTGGGAAGCAGTTAACCAATTTCGTCATCGCACTGGATTCAGTGGTGAGCAGGCTCTTGTGAGTGTCTGGGGAAATCTTCTGCTTACAGTAGCTGCTTTTGCTCCCTACCTCCCTYCTCCTTCCAGTTAAAGCCTCTGCCCTGCCAAGTGGGTTTCACAGGCATGCAGTCTGATAACAACGTCCTTTAGTTAAGAATGTCTATTCCAGTATTAAAAATGTAAAAAAAGTCCTCGGGAGGGTGCTTCTTAGTGGCAAGTTTTTGCCGTAAGCAAGGCCAACGGCCCGCAATTACAAGTTAATTAAAGCAATGTGGATTTGGATGAGCAATGGTGAAGATGGGAGTGGGGAAGGAAGGGATGCAGGAAGCAGGGAGGAATGCAAGTATTTCTACATCCCTCCCCAAAGCCAAAATCCAAGGTGCAAAAGTGGGTTTCTTTTTTTCCTCACACTCTTCTTTTTTTTTTTTTTTTTTAATATCTCTCCAGTTATAACATATTTCCAGTTTCAGAGCAAGTTTCAGTGACTGCCTCAGTTACAGTCATAAACAAAGTCGTAGTTGCTGGGCTCCTTTGGGATAGGTGGGGGAGCATCTGGGATCTGTATATTTTCCAGGTCAAGGAGGCGTAGCTTTATCTCCATGCTGAGCAGYGTGTCTAGGTCGTTCCGCGTTAGGTCACTCAACATATCCTTCCCAAGGAGGGCGTTCAAACCATCGGTCCATACACAATACTGCACAGGAAAAGGATAAAAACTGTCATTAATAGACTTTTCATACACAAACTCCTTGTCTGGTCTGGTTCTCTGYGGCTATTGCTCCTATGAGGACTAGCACAGAGACCTAAAATTAGGTTGATGTGTTTTATCAGCTCATATAATGAAGAAGACTTTCACTGAGCTGCTCAGAAAATGGGAAAAAAATCCAGAAAATGGGAAGAAATGACAGTCTTTAGTTGTTTGACAATTTGCTRTCTCCTCCAAAGTTCTTGTTGAACGTTCTTCTACAATTATGGGAAAAGGAACAATATCTGACTTAGGACAATGAACCTCTGGAGAAATCTCATTCATTCCTCTCATTSTCCTTCCCCACTACTTATTAAAAGAAGCCCGATTATCTTACACTAACTAAGCTTTCAATTCCAGCAGTTAAGTGTGGTGAACTGAATTCCACCCGCAAATCTTTCTTGACTCTTCATGTATCCTGTACTGWCTATGTATTTTTATTGTGGTTTGCTTTCCTGTATGTGAAGTTGTTACAGTTGATAGTCTCACATATCTATGCCTACTTTACYGCTATTTTACACAAAATAACATATTGCGAAAACTACAGTCAGTTAATGCCACGTCCTTCATGAAAATTAAATGCCAARCTGCTTGGGTGTAATCCTAAACGCTGCAAATGCTGAACTGGCCTCTAAAACCTTTTCCTTACTGTTAGCTTTTCCCTAATTGGAGATGCCATCTTTTACCAACAGCTGACAGCTTGTGATAAACGTGGGCTGAATAACCATTTTAAATCAKCAACAAATTCAAGGGAGATTGGTGATCTAGAGTCAACTTCTATTGAATAAGTCACTTTCATTTATTACTACAAGCCATTTATTCAACTATGAACAGAAGTACTCAAATGCTGTCATCTAAAAATAAAGATTTCAATCATGAACTTGTGTCCTAGTTTGCAGGAGAAAAATTAAATCAACCATAACCACATTTTTATCTTACAAATACTTCTGCTGGATTTCATGCCAAAAAAAAAGGTTTTTAAATTTAGCTGACCATTTGCTACATGATGCTGCCGAGTTTAAAGATAGCCATGGTTGACTTCATCCCACAGCAGAAATGAGGATTATTTTTAAGGGAGAGAGAGAAGCCCCCCTCTTCATCCAGAAAAAGGGCATATTTTAAAAATAGGAWGGGTTAACACACTTCAGCATCCGAAGTGAAATCCAACCCACTTAAGTCAATAACAAAACAGTGGCAGWGGGAGCTTTTTCACCCAGGGTGTGRGTAAGCCAAGSTGCRGCTTTAACATGAGATCAGCTAYAYAGAAGAGRCTCTAGAGTTCAGGTTGTCCTGCTGACAAGTACTAAATAAACAACTTAGCCTGCCTWTTCTAGGCTGTCAAAGTGTGCCACTGAAGACTTCTAAAGCATGCAGTGTTTGTGGAGTGTATGCTGAACATTAGGAAGAGAAAGAAGCTATTCCAGAAAAAATAATTCTATTTGAACAGATTAAATCTCTTGTGATTTACTTGAAATCTTTCTTTGGGAAAATTTTCCTAGAATTCATTATGAAGAAAGTAACAGGCTAGCAAAAGGCTCTGCTCAGGTTACAGGAGAGCAGAGAATCTTTTCAGATTCTGKTGAATCTTTTCAACAGATGCAGCCCCTGACGTAAATCGTCCATCACCTGCGCAGTGAGTGCGGCCAGAGCTTCCTCTGGGGAAGAATCCCAGAGAGCCAGAAAGCAGAACTGCAGTTCACTCCTCTTCCAGATATAACTCATTCAGGGCCCACAGAAACCCAGTGCTGGCTACTATTCTGTTGAGTGCAATGGCCTGGAAAAGGGGCTTCCTCTCTAATCTCCATTTTGGCAAGTGCACCTAATTAAACTCCAGCACATTTTGAGCAGAGAGACATCCTAATGAGATGGTGGAAAAACAGAGGCATTCATTCAGAAGCTTTTCTCTTTTTAATATGCAAAAGAAACGAAGAGCCACTGAAAAATTAATTTACGAGATTCATTTTCATAAAACTCCAATGAAACCTAATTATGGCTTCCCTCATCAGTTTCTCTGTCAAAAATCAAGGCTAAGATTAATCCACCTTTTTTGCTATGTAGTTGAAACCAGTTATTAGTATTTAAATGAAAAACAAATACAATGGAGTGATCTCATAGTACCAAAYCCTCTGGCTAGCAGTAAGCTCCAACAGATGGCTAAGGGAATTGACAAACTTAAGCGCACAAGAATGAGGTCCAAATCTCAAATTACTGGTTCAGTAATGAGATTTTATTAAAGAATTGCCTTGGGAGTCAAGCCAGTGGAACTGGAAAGGTTGCACAGGCTACATCCATCTGCATGCAGCCCTAAGAAACCTGGTCTGAGCTCACTGCTGACCTGCTTTGAGCAGGAGGTTGAACTGGGGACACCTCCAATGTTCCTTGCAGCCAGAATGATCCCAACTTTTATTTTTAGGACACACTCAACTCCCACATTTCAACCTCACTCTACAATCACGAGGACTGCACAAGTACTTAAAAAGCCCCACAAGTCTGACCTGAAATTGTCAGGTACCAGCGTCATTCCTGGTGCTTCACACAAAGCTTTCCAAACCYTCAGATGTCACCATCAAAAGTCCCAAACTGACAATGCTGCTAAACCAGGGCTTCCATCAACAGGCGCCCCAGCTACTTTGATGAAGAGTCACRGGCTTCACAACATCCTGCTTGCCTTTCCTTGTGGGATCTTCCTCTGAACACTTGTACATTTTACTTTAAACACAACTCATCCTCTGCAGCCATGGAAAAATACAGAAGGATCGAGATACTCTTTTGAAAACTTCCATTTGGGAACTGTCAAGTGGCAGCAGAGACTGTTGCCTCTGGCCATTTTTTGGAACATATTAATTTTGTTTCAAAGAAGCAGCACAAGACCAAAATGAGAAACGAAGATAAAAGGTGTGTTAATGCAATCATGAGCAACTGGGTGATGCATTTCACTGCTATTGCCCATCAGTGGGATGCAGCAGCAGCTTCTGAACATTCAGACCATTAAAATCCCCTTGTAGCTATAGGCTGTATTTGAGATACAGCGGCTGAAAAAAACGTTGGTCTTCATGACCATTGCACTTATGAGCTGAAACAGTCTAGAATAAAGTTTCTGGAGAGTTTATATCAGAAATCATTGAACATATGTTCAGTTCAGAAGATGAAGACAACCATGTTTTGCTTAGAACAACAGCTCTAATAGCACATTGTGCCTGGGATACCACTGCTCCTTTCTCTTACATGAAAACTGACTGGAAAATAGAATGAACATACTTAAAATCACACTGAAATATTAATCCACAGAAAAATCCAAATGGGCAGAACCATATCTCATCTCCTAAAATTAACATTTAGTTGAAGGTTTTAGTCCAGAACCACAAATCTTGAAGCAGCATAACTAAATACACTATGCCTGTAAAGCAATTTCATGCACTTTTTAAACACTGCACTATAAATATTCTGTAATTCATCACCTTAACCCAGTGTCCTGAGCTGGGACCAAATGTGATACCACAAAACAAGTGTGCAAATGGAACACCAGCTCTTCTTGCTTTAGAAATAAGAAGGACTTTTTTTTAATATAACACATTCTGCTAATGAATGCTCCAAACTTGACTTACCTCATGCTTGTCTGGAGCAATGAAATTCAACTGGCCACTTGAGTCATACAATATAGAGAAAGCAAGCTCTAGCACCTCCTGGAACAATACAAAGAAACACATATTAAWGCTGCATGATAGTGGCATTCATACATTCAGGCCTGTGTTTCTTTACTATCCCTTATTACCCCAAACAAGTTGAGAAATAGTTTATGGTAATCTTCTGTCTGGCCAAAGGCGCAGCAGTACCAGACCCCTGCAAGAGACTGGCACAGCAAGAATCTCACCACAGGTGCTTCAGTCAAAACAAACTGACCCACCTCAATGCCTACTGTAGCCCACTGGCTCATGTATTACTTAAGCATTTGGGTTTAAATTTGAGTTAGGCAATGGTGAGGACGAAAATCAATATAATGAATAATATTACACTTGCAATGAACTCTTCATGAAGACTCACTGTTTCTTTCAATTTGTATAGATTAAATGCACAAATCTCTGTAAGGTTTAAAAATGTTGTGTTAAAAATGTTGTCAGGACAATTAACATCCTGGTATATACTTAGGTTCTTTTCACTGCTGGAAATATATTAAATTTCTAGTGGAAACCAGACCCAGGCACAGAGCAGAGTGCTGACTTGTAACTATGATCACAAGTCCTGTTTCTTTTGCCTCTTGGCTTCCTCAGCCCTGTCATACTGATGGCTTTTGCTGACTSTCAGCTGACAACAGTCCCTGCACTGCCAGCAGTGACAGAACGGCTTCCTAAATTTGCTACACTAAGTTTTAAAATGGAAGGATTGACTGCAGGGACTGCAGCAGAAACATTGTTCTAGATTTCTACCCCTAATCTGGTCTGAGACAGACACAGGTAGCTGGATTTCAGTAAGGGCCTTTTTGGTTTTGAAGTTGTGTCATTAAGAGCAGAGTCTGAACCATAAAACTTGCAATCCTTAGGGATAATCCTGGATAATAAGAGATCAGGCTTCTCATGGGAAATGTTCTTGTTTCCTTGAGTTTAGTTACTGGGTTTGACTTGATGCATTGCCAGGCTAGGGGAGACAAAGCTGGGTTAAATCCTCGTTGTGTTAAATCCCCACGGAGGCTGCAAGCACTGACAGCGCTGGTGCACCCCACAAACAAAYGGCTCAAGGCTCACGTGGCCATTCTGTGTCGTGGACACATCTCCCAGCCATGCCTTACTAAGGGTGATGTCCCTCGTCACACAAACAAATCCACCTCTCCCACGTGAACCTGGCATTACCTCCTCACATGGTGTTATAAATTACTGACAGAATTGTGCCAAGTAATGCCACTGAGGTGAAAATAAAATGTAGCGCTGGAAAAAGGGTTTGTACTGCTACACACTGTGATGTTCCTGGATTTCACAAAGGTCAACAATCCCTGACAGGCCTGATCCCTGTAATTTTTCRTTTAGGAAACTCCAACAAATCTAATCTCTCGTTCACCTCAAAGAGACAAAAAGGAGGACAAAAATCTCTGCTTGGAAGAGGAATGTGTCAGGAAGTCAAAGGTTTGGTCATTTCCAGTCAGGCAGAGAATGAGAAAGACCTACATTAAGGGCATCAAGCTTCCCTTTCTGGGGAAAACAGTTCTTTTGGCAGCTCTGGCTACAGMTCAGCTTCTTTGCTGGCTCCTCTGGACTCTAAAGGCTTGGGAATTACAGCTTCCAGGTGCCAGCATCTCTGTGGCTCTATGAACAGCAAACTGTCAAGGAAAATGGAAGCCAAAGTAGCTGTAGTTGCCAGCTGGCCCTCCACACTGATGGTGGTCTCAGTGGTTGAGCTGGCTGACTTGTCAGGGACCCCCACCTGGTTTTGTTGCAGTCCGGTCAATGACAAGGAGGAACTGGCAATTTTTAAAGGAGAACTGTTTAGTCTTTATGAAGCATCTGTGGTTTTCTCCTTCTTTTTCTGTTCTACTTCTCAACTTTCTCACAGTAATTTTCATTGAAGCGTTGTCCACTTGTTTCTCTATCCCTCCGGTCCTTTTTATCTCRCATTCCCTCCAACCAATTACTTCCCTCTTTGTTTTGTTTTCCTCCTCCTGCACCTCAAGATGCTGAACTCACTCCCTTGGCACTCCTGGCTCCTTCCACATGTCAGACTCTGTCCTTCCCTAGATGCTTCTGAAAGGTAACAGCAGTGGGACCCACAATGTGCCTCTTCTGAGCTGCACTGAAAACAGAGAACGAGGGACTCTGCAATGGCAGGAGAATGAGGGACTCTGCAATGCCAGACTGGTACTTCCCACCGCTTGGATTCAGCTCTGCGGGGAAAGCTGCTGTAGGTGGCATGAAGGGAAGGTTCCTCACTCACTACAAGAGCTTCTGTCTCCCCCACACTCCCCTGGTCCCCAACATGAGCCAGAAGCAGGCTATTTTTCACGAGCAGGCRTTTTGGGTGCCTATGGCACAGTGATCCCATGCAGCTGGAATGACCTCACTACTTTCTGCCTGCYCTGTCTTCAACATCTTCGAAAACCCCATGCTGAGTTTGCTTGGCTGAGTCAGAAGATCTGCCCCAAAGAACTATCCAGACAGGCAGCAGCAGGGAACGTGTTCAACCAACACGAAATAGAAAAAAAGCTTAATTCATCAGGGAACTGAGCAGAGCCATTTCAGCTGACTAAAAAGGCACAAACCCTGAAACCTGCCACATCAGCAAACAAAAGGTGATAGGAGAACACTTCAAAATACATGGCAGTGTTTTTCTTTCTAATACYTCTGTAATGCTTTCTTTTGAAGGCTGCAAAATCTGACGTATTTCATTTCCTTGAAATTCACCAATGTTACTTGAGTCAGAAATAAGGATTTAAAAATAAAACCTAATTGAAAAACACAAGCAAGATGAACAGCAATGGATTCATGTCTGGTCCTATCACATCRTGTTCAGCTTCATATGCATGCCAATTCCAGTTCAGTTTAACTCTTTTTTCGTTCTAAATTGTCCTGCTGGAAGAACAATGGCCATGTGCTGGCAAATGAAGAGATGCAGAAGCCTTTGTTATGGACATTTTGCCAATTCCTGCTATGCTCATAGCATGGCATTCTGCCATTCAATTTTCYTTTCTGCCAATAAATAAAATTGAGGTGGATATTAAATATGTAAAAGGAAAGCACAGTATGAAAGGGTCTCTTAAAAAAAATATCACTGATTGTGAAAATTCAGAAAGTGGAAGGTTTCATACACCAAATTCAGCTGAATTGCATTCTGTGTCTGTTTTTTTATAAATTTTAATTTCATTATCTATATTAAATTGATATTCTGTAAATAGCATGTTATCCTATGTCAGTTAAGTAGTTGCAATATTGTGCCTGACAGTTTGATCGATATGACAGATAATTTCAAAAATTCTGTGCTTCTGAGGGGAAGAAACTAGGAATTGAGGAAATAAAGAAACTCAAACCACCAAATCAAAAACCCCAAACCTCATCAAACCCACATTAGAAATAGTAAAACCACTGAAATTGYCGTTGCCTGGGTCACGAATAGAATGCTCCAGCCAAGGATGCAGCCATGCTATCTAGGAATTCCTGATCTTCACATTGTCAGCCAGAATTTCATACCAGTCCAAAGCAGTTTTACCTAAGGAAATGGGGCATTGCTGAGAGCTGAGGACAAACTGATCTGCAGCATTCCTGTTTAGCCTTAAATACTATCTAGACATTACTGCTCCATAGCGATGACACATTTCCATCACTGCCACCCACTGCTTTCCATCTTTCCTTTTTGTGCGGACATATGAGTGCTGAGACAAGGAAGCACTAAAAATATTTCATATGCATCATGTAAATGTCCCAGCCAAATGTGTTGATGGTTCAGCTGTAACATGAGGTAGGAGTTGYACGTAATCTATTGTGCTCAAGCGTGTTTGTTTGTGCCCCAATTCAGAAAATCAACAAGGAAAAATATTCCTGGGATTTTTTTCCCCCCACTTGGCATGACCTCTTCCTTTCCTACCATGTAAAGACAATGTTGAAAGGAGAGCAACTGCTCTGTATGAAAACAAACGCAAAAAAATACTCAAGATGCTCTGCCTATGGTGCATAGTTAAGGAAATAAAAGTTGTGTGATGTAGTTTTGACAGTGCCTCCTCAGTTTTTATGGTTCCTATCAGAACTACTTTTTTCAATTTTATCTTGAAGTGTTGAAGCAGGAACTCTTAACTYCATTATTTYGTCCATCACAATCTGCTGGTCRGACCCAAAATCTCTCAGTTTCRGGTAATTAGAAATTCTGATTCAAAACCTGTGATCTGGCTCCCAGACCTCTCAGGGTGTGGTTCTAGGCCAGACTGAACACCATTAGTCTCATTGCTTCTTGTAAGGCCAGAGAGYACAAYCTGATAGAAAATTTATGAACATACYTCATAGAGTATGGTGTGAAAACCTTCACCACTAACACTGCCAGACTTTGGTAGTAACTCCATTTCTTCTTGATGTGGTGACAATTCTTACTAACAAAAACTCTGCAAGATTCTGGCACTGCACAATCTTACTGTCAGCTTACAGTTCTCGAAAGGTAGTATAAATCTAATTTAAGCTGAACATTGTCTGCTACACAATTTTTCCCAAATGCACTGYTGAGCACATCCTTATCCGCCTCCTTAATTGCCCAGTATTTACCTTACATCCTTTTCTTGGCAGTTGTTTTTCTGCCTGACTGAACCTACAGGTATCATCAGCTGGACATTAATTGCAGTTCTGGCATGTGCTCACTGAATGTGAGCTCATCAGAAAACGCAGCTGGAACAAACTAGTTATTTACCAGAGACAAAATAAGGGTAGATACCAACAGCCAGTGATGGTTTGCTTTAGAGGTAGAAAACATCACTACTAAAGGTGATTCCAGTTGTGCTCYGGGCATATCACAATGCACATCTGCCATGAAATATGAGTAAAGGAGGGCAAGCTGTCCCAATAATTTAACTCAGATGGTCTAAGGTGGAAACAAATGTGTACATACATGGAAATGTGGCAGGATGGAGTGAAAAATACCTGTATTACTTCAGGGAAGTTCAAGTTGGTAARCTTTGTATTCTGCACAGTATGTGTTTGTAACAACTCGAGAACCATACCTTGTTTTGTTTAAGAGCTCCTTTCTCCTTCATGTGTGGGCAGTCTTTCCCAGTCACAACAGCTTTTATATCTGCCACTGGCACTGCATTAAAAAGAAAGAAAATCAAAATCCAGAAAATTAGTTATAACCAAGGTATATAAAAGMTACAAAGTCTAAAAAGAGGCAAGACTAATGTGTTAAAATTGCCATGTCCTTTGCCATTTCCAGCCTTTCGTAAGAAAGAAAACTGGGAGAAAACAACTAACACAGGAAGCGGTGAATCTTGACAAAATTTCAGGCATCTGGATGAAAGTCTGAAAATGCATTTTCTTGCCTGTTTAGACAACCTTGGGTAAGAGTGTCTCATATAAATGCATACCTGTATCTGGACAATATGTGTACTCATGTTTCTCAAAACCAGATAGTTTTCTTCCTTGCCAAAGTAATATGCCTGCTCTGTTGTTGTTCTTTGGTAGGCATCCAGGTAAAGTCTCTGCTGCAGAGAGGATGCTGGGCAAKTCAGACCCCTCACTCAGTGCTGTTCTTTTAAAAGCCTGTGTGATTTTTAAAAATAGTTTTCTATTTCATTCCCATCAGCAATTTAGTTGCTTTCTGGTACTAGCAGCAAAAAAGAACACTAAGGCTTATAATGAACCATTCCAATTGCTTTAAAATGTGATCAGAAGTGATTGGGGGAGAAAAAAAAGGTAGGAAAAAATATTGGAATCTGCTGCCACTCAGAGTCACAGAGTGAGGTCACTAAAGCACAAAGATAAATGTCTCAGAGTTTGAAGTGGAAGTCAATTTTCCAAAGGTAATTACATTATGGAGAATCTATATGCTCTMCAATACAATATGGTCCCTGAGTGACAGTTTCTATGATCTATAAGTAATCCATTATCCTTGTGGCTGCAGAAAAGTACCTTATATATAGCGTGGGATAGTAATATGAAAACCTGTTACTGCCCAGTTCTTTACAAACTCTAATGGAAATACTGGAGAGGAGAAATGCATTTACTCTTCTACTGGGTACTGTAGCACTATATATTTTATGACAGATTACCTCAGCACTACGGTCAAACGGATGGCATGGGATGTAATAGACATTTTTAAAGTATTTGCCTTGCATGGGAAAKGAAAAGAATGGAAATCATTTGGCCCCTCACTGCTCAACTTCTCCTGGCTTTAGTCTCAGAATTTTATGCTGTGGGCCTGCTGACCTTTGAAATCTCTGACAACCCCCTACTTTTTGGTGATGAAGAGATACTATTTTAAAGAGGAGAGAGAGAGTGATAGGATAAACTGGGAAGTTAAGGACATATTTGACGGCAACTATGGTAGAAAGGTCTTCTTAAGAAAAAGAGTTCCTGTCATTTGCTGAAGAGGCCCAGAAAAATATCATCTCTTTGCATAAGGTAGGGTTTTCTGAGGTCAGACCTCTCAACCAAGAAGGCTTTTCTCCAGGTTTCATACACTTGATCTGTGTGATCTGGAATGCAGTTACTGTGGGGGATCACAGACTGATGTGACATCCTCATCTTTATTTATCTGGAACTTGGCTTATGCCTTGCTTTGGAAAAATAGAATCAAAGACTTCAAGAGGTATCAGAAGTTGAGACTATAAGATGCTGGAGGGTGTGAGCACAGATGTGATGTGTTCACAATGGATAAAGCCTTGAGAAAGAGGGCAGCTGTTTTCTGTCCCAGCTGGAGTCTTCAYGGCTTGTTAACTCTGCCAGCCTGAAGAGAGGGGTGACATTCACAGAAGAGAAAAGGTTAAAAACCCAYACATCTATTTTTGGAGATAGAGACTAATTGTTCATGCTTGGCAAGGAGTACACAAAATGCTCGATGCTTCTCTTGGTTCTGTTTTCTTACCTACATATTCTCTTTCATCTGCGGACCTGGCTCCAAATGCTGGCAAGTTGATCATCATATTCAAACTTTAAGAAAGTTTAAAAATCAATAAGKCTATCCAGAGAAAACCAGAATATTTATGAAAATTTTTCTGTAAAATGCTCAAGCCAGTTTGGTCTGATAYGTTTCAAATAATAGTGCCACTTTACAATTTTGTGCTTTGCAATATTCTCAGCTTGGTTTGATGAAACTATCTAATGTGGGCAGCACTACAGTAAATTTTGTATCACTCACAGCCTGAAAACCTGAGATACTGATGAAATAATCACCTCATTCTCAAACTAAATTGGTATCTGCTCTGCCAGCAGCCATGCTGAGGGAACTGTGTGTGYTTGGCCCAGTGGTTTCTAAAGTAGGAATCTTCTGCCCCCAAGGGATCCTGACCTTCCCAACTAGGCTCAGGAGCCTATGGAAAATGCAAGTGTTAGATGAAGCTCACAGTCAGGGTCAGAGGTTTGTGCATGGAAGCTCCAAAGCAAACAAATCTGGGAACTGCTGGTCTTGTAACTGTGCCCACAGTTCAAGTGTGACTTCCATTCTTCYGTCACTGACACGACTGTAACATTCCAGGGCTTTTTCTCTAAGCCTTGTCCACAAAAACAGCCTATTTCTGTGCCAATGCWGCAATGTGAGGCCCTGTCCTACATTCTGCCAAGATTGCAGTAAGACTGTGGAAYATCCTTGAGGCAATCTGTAAGGCAACGAAAACAAGGGAACGTGACTGCAAACTGTCAGGTCTCCAGCACCACACAGGCTTTTCTTGTTTTGCTCTCAGACTGCATCTGGGAGCACTTAGATGTTTTAAAAGGTGCTGCCTGGGGATAGGGTAAGGGAGGAAATTTAGTATCATACCCCAATTTTCAGACTGGAAAAATTTCAAACTTCTGAAAAATTAATCTTYCTGCCATTTCATGAAAGAACTGAAACTACCAGCCAAAACACCTCTATAAGTGTGTCTAATTTGATAATGCCTAGAATTTTCAGAAAAGCACAAAAAGAGATTATTCCTTATTCAATTCTGGATTTCTTGAAGTCACCTTCCAATGACAGAACTACATTCATTATTTCTATCATCACATAAAAGCTTCCCTGGATTGCAGGCTAAACCCCTACAATAAATGTTGAAGGATGAAAGGGAAATCACTAGAATATGATGTTTCTGAAGAGTTCCAAAATTACTTTTATCCATAAGAAAAATCCCAATAAATCCCCTGATAGGAGTTGCCACTGAGACATGTCCTCTCCCAGCTGGGTACACTGAAATGGTGAGGTCCTCTCAATACTGCTCACAGTGATGCGTCATCTTTAAGTCCACTCCTCACAATAACAAAAACCTCTACCACATATTCCTCCCCCAGTCACTAGACTGTCTGTTTCCATGGACAGCCAGTGCTTCTGAATATGTTCAAGTATTTTTATTTGACATCTGCACTTAGATGAGCAATGAAAATAAACTGTGTTCCTTCCTAAGAAAGACATGAYGTTTCCAAGCTAAATGAAATTATGAACTCATTGATAAACTTAGCTCAGTCCTCACACACACTTGTCAGAACCAGGAGAGCAGTGCTGGAATGCAGGAGGAAATATTCCCTGCTCTCTGTCTTCTTAAAGAGAGCTGTTGATAATGTCCCGATGTTAAGAGAAACCTACTACAAGTTACAAAGAAGAATTAGCATAAAGGAAACAGAAGCATCACAATCTTTGTGCACAACTTACATTTATCTTGCAAAGAATCATGAGGGACTTCTCCCTGGGGACTTTCTTCCAAGTCTCCGTAGTGCAAGACCTTGTGATTAGGTGAAAGCCGACAATACCAAAATTTGTCTGTTGAAACAAACACATTAAACAAGGTCACTGACATGTCTTCATCAGCCTTACCAACAGCATAGGAGAGAGCTTATTCAAACATGGTGCTAACCAGGGAAAGRCCAGTTTTTCTTTCAGAAGAAATGYGTGGGGTATATATAAGAAGGGCAGTGACTTTGCTCAGTAATTTTACTTTATTAAATGAAGCTGGCATTAMTCTGCAGGGGTTTTGTTATTGACCTAGTCACTGGCTCAAAAAAAAATACTAGTGAGAAAAAATTGACTTTGTTTTACCAAACATTATATACCCTCACAGGCAGGAGACTGGCAAAGTAACTACTTTGAGAGAATAACTTTAATTTATCCATAAAAGATTTATTTTTAGCACCCACTATGTGAAAATCAAGCCCTACCAGCTGTCTTGTGTGGGACACCCAAAAACTGATAAATTTGAAATATCCCATACTTTATGAAAATTATGACTCATGTCTATTTTTACAGACCCAGGAGAACACCTCCATATTTATGGAGAGACTGGACATAATAAACACGCAAGGACTTAAAAAGCAGTCAAGTCCCTCGTCCTGCAGATAACTCAGTGCTTTGCATGGTCACAAATATATGTGTGACCATGCAGTTCACACCCCAGTTTGCATTTTAGTCCTTCCTAAAAGGCGAACATTTACGTCTCCTGACAACCCGTGTTTCACAGGATAAAATTCCCCTAAACAACATTTGTTAAAACCTGCTCCTGTGAAGAACATCACCTTCGCAGGGCCAGGCCACCAYGCTGCCTTAGCAGCTTGCCAATTCCCTTTCTGAAATGGCAGCAAATAGGTGACCCTTCTTTGTCAGAGCCCATTCTATTAAATAAGTAGATCACATAATGTTAAGCTGTCAAAAAATACAATCTTGTTACATCCAAACTAAATCTCCAAAAAGCTCAGGGCAAGGCTGGATGTTAAAATGCCAGCGGAGGGGGGCAGAGGGTTTATCTGGCTCTGTGCTTTCCTTGTACTGGCAGTGCTGAGGCTGTGCCAAGCAGCAGCCTGAGGGACAATTTAGAGGAAACGTTAGCACTGACACAGCCCTGCGGCGCTGCGATYGCTGGGAGCCACAGTTTGGATAAAACATTGGAAGAGCTGTAGAACCAGCATATGTAAGCTCATTTGGGGTGTTAGCAAAGGAAGGGCTTCTTGGCTCTGGGAGTAAAACATCGGCTTCATGGACCCAGCTGCTCCCTGAASGACACCCCAGGCCYCTGGCCAKTYATTTAAAATGCAATGAAGTAAATCRCTGGTGAMTGAATGGTAAAAATGGGCTTTCAYGTGCCCTTTTAAATTTTGTTGTCACAGTGGGCACAAAGGTTTGGGGAAAAAATCAAACTCCTTTCTGATGTGCAGCCCCTTCTGCAGAAAAAGTTTCAAAAAAGCCTACAAACCTCTGGCAAAGGCTCAAAATGGCCATGGGAGAGACYCTAGTTATCTGCTTCACAGGCATGCACAACACCGAAAGATTTATGGTACAGAGCCTGAGATTATGATTCTGTGATGCATACAAAAGAGCTGCTGAAACAGCAGCATCCCTGGACAGTAAGCAGAATGTACAGTGAGGCACAGCATGGGATYGGAAAGACCCCACTTGCTAAAAACTAGAGCAAATAGGCTCCCTCATTCCGTAGACTCTCATCTGAGGAGCACACACACACTGTTAGATAGTTTGTGTATCTCACAAGGATATATGTGAAGATTTTCTGGATTTGTACCTTTTACAGAGAAATCAACCAGAACCACAGCAAAGCCTGGTGCTTGAGGAATATACCCCATCAAATCTGATGGTTGACCATTATGCCTCAAGAAAAGCCTCCAGTAACTGCAGCAGGAGGCTTTCATACTTGGCTTTAACTGCAGCCTCATTATTTAYTGGGCTGTACACATTAATACAACTTTCAAACTAAAATTAAAACAGTATTTTTTTCCTGATAAAAACCAACATGGTTTCACTACCTTMTCCATGACCTGGGCAAAAAGATGGWGYCACTRAAAAAAAAATTACCATGAATTCCTTTCAATTTATCACAAATAGCATTAGTGTCAGAAGGGTTTGGCTCTTTAATCGCCTAGGGCTTAGTGTTTTGGTAGCCTTGGCTGTCTTTCAATGCCACACTTCAATAAAAAAGAGGGGAACACCCCTCCATGAAAATATCTTACTTTGTTTTAGAAAAGGGTGGTTTAATGGGAAGAAACTCAGTGTTTGAGGAGCTTTTCCAGCAATTCCCTATAACCCAAGGTTAATTAAAAACTAGTAGGCATAGACTGTAACTTGAAGCACAACTCTCCTGTGGGCTCACTAACAACTGCTGCTCTGCCACAGCCTTGCTGCCAAGGGGAAAGCCCTTAAATGAAAGCTACCAATGGAACTAACCAGGTTTCCTCAAGCACAGCCACTAAATGACTGCACCCGGCCAGGCTGAGGAGGGTGATGGCACTAACGTGGGGGGAAGCAACCTTTGCTTCTACAGCCACCTCAGCCTTACCCATAGGGGTTTTCTTTTCAGCTGTACATGATGCTACAAATAGTGTATCAGAAAATATCCCACTCACATGACATTTTAATGCCTTGGAGGTGAGCAGTTTTAAACAGAATGGAGCTATTTTACTGTAGTGCAGGTGCTGAACACAATTTTATTGGAAAAGTAGTGTATAGAATAATGCTGAAGGGACCAGGATTTACTCTGAACACTAAATTGATAAATTAAAAAAAAAAAAAAAAAAAAAAAAAAAAAAAAAAAAAAAAAAAAAAAAAAAAAAAAAAAAAAAAAAAAAATAAAAAACAAAAAAAACAGAATAAAAAGCTCTTTTGTACTATAACTCAAAAGTGGTGTTTTAAAAACAAAGAAAAAACACTGTCCAAACCCTCCAGAACTCTTAAACCAAAATCCACAGAGCTGAAGTTTCACAAGAGGCTTTAAAGACAGGACAGGCCTTCCTCATTAGTCCCCATATCCACATCTGGCACAGCTGGTGCGGGGCAAGTCTGTGCTCAGGAAAGAATGAGGTTTGTTTTGCGTTTAGGACCAGGTTTAAGAATTTTCCCCAAAGACTAGGTCCCTTTAATGAGTTATAATACCTATTTTTTATCCAGTGTTACCATCTACCTCCTGCTCAAAGGAAGAAGCTGTAGGGATGGCAGGCACTAACCAGTTTTTAGAGATGGTGTGGACTGGATATTTCATCACAGTTTTCAGACATTACATTGTTTACACTTTCTGGCAACTCCTTATGTCTTTCAGCTCAGTGACCACTGGTGGAATCACATTAGGGTGTTAGAAATTATTTGGGAAACAGAATTAGTCATTCTGGCTTTTAACCTGAAAAATTTTCAAGCAAATTGTTCTGATTTTTCAGATAATTGCTAGAGTAGCAAATGGGTTAAATATATCACAGAACATTGTTGAAGATTATAGATGAGGTTAAAAAAATCCCAAATAACAAAATCAGCTACGAATTGGCTACAAAAGGAATATTCAAAACTGTGAACAAAGAGCAGAGCACAGAACATGTTGCTGATGGGCTACAGAGTGCCTGGCCATTCACACAGTGTGCTTCCAAATGCATTTATGGCCTATGATTCATATGCCCTTAACAATACCATTCCAGGTAAAGGACTGCTGTGGTTAGTACAGAAGTRCTCTGTTGTTTGAATCTGGGGAGAAAATAACTCAGATATGCATGGACAGAAGTCTGAGAATATGTATTTTTTCCCAAGATATGTTTGAGGTTACTATAGAAGCTTTTTTTTCAAAGAAAAACATCCTCACAGATTTAGCAACAGGAACATGCTTTTAAATATATCCATGGAAATATATGTATTTGTGTAGATTTTATATCCATATATGCATGTTGGCATGCATATATTTCTTTTTCTTTCTTTGTTCTGTCTCTAATAAAACAGTAGTGACATTTTCACTCTAACTGGTCTTAACAGCCTAGATCAAGGCAGGAAGCTCTCCAAATGGCTGGTGAATAACTGACCTGTGGCAATGTTGGAGGCGTATTTGGTTAACTGGTTCCTCTCAGCCAGTCATGCACTCACAGAATATTTGGTTTTTTTGTGGGATTATGGACAGCAGGCTGAAGTAGCAGTAGAAAAGAGCTTGGCAGAAAAAAGGCAAAATGTATGTTGCTGTTCAGAACGGTGAGTTACTTATCCTAGCAAAAGGTGGAAAACTTGTCTTCACTTGATATTTTTTGTTTCAGTTTAAGTTTTCTCTTTCCAGGTTACTTCCATGGTGCTTTGTGTTTTTAATTTAATGGTGTGTATCACCAGGGTTTTCCTTCCTTCGAAAAATTACTGTTTGAGAGAACTCATCTTTGGSTACAAAACCATTTAAATAACATGCTATTTCTCTATAATCTTTATAAAGTTAAAAGGGGAATTTACTTCCAAGAGTTCAYCCAGCAACATATACTACAAATGTACTGCATGACAGCATCAGAAGTATCTATTATCCTCAATAAAATGCCTTTATCTGCTACTTAGCTCTACTGGAAATAATAACTACTGGGGGTGTAGAGTGCTTGGCAGGTTTTCCCTTTAGTTTTCYCCCTTTTCTTTTCGGAATTATCTAAGGAAGGAGAAAGCCAAAGAGGTCTCCCTGTCAGCAGATATTCATGGTCCAGGAACAAAGTGGGGATTTGCGGAGCATGATSATCTGCTGTCGAGCAGTGATCAGAAGGATAAGCTAGATTTTGCTGTTTCATTTCCAACTGATTAAGATACTTAATAAAAACTCAGGAGTTAGTGCTGCAGTTCTCCTATGAAAACCTTGCAAGGGAAAGGCCATGTATTTTTCAAGAGTGGTAAGGATCCTGCTGGGACAACAGTGATATTTCTGAACTTCAGCTACATAGAGATCCTGCAATGATAATCCTGTGCTGAAACACAAAAAGYAGAGATCTGAATATAGACACCTCACAGCTTAATCTTCAGCATCCCCCCAGTGAATCACCTGTCGGATTGGAGGCTTTCCAATGCTAGGTGTATATGAAAGTATTTAATCTCCTCTCAAAAAGGCCATAAGAGACTGTAAACTCCCTTCTCATTTTTTTGTAAGTCAATTTCTTCARCTTACTGTGACTAACCATGTGTGTCCTACCACATGTTCAAGCAATAATCTTAACAGAAGTTTGCTCTGGAGTCTTTATCATGGACGAATGCCTGTTAATTATCTTTAAATAGGCAATTTAATGCTTTCAGCTTCTGTATAGGGCACGTTCAGGYTCTTCTTGTACAATCTGTAAATTTCTGACATTTGTTCCAGGACTTTAGGGAACACGAGAATCATAGGTAAGGTAAAAAAAAGCATATACATTGGTGTAACACCTCCCTGGTCATGCTACCCTTCTAAGTAGGTTGCCACACAACAGGCAAATCGTGATGCCTCGCAGCAGTACTCATTTCTTTTCCAGCTCCATGTCGACCTGGATGGACCACAGCCCTTTTAGAGCCTTGGTAATGATCCATGGCAAGTGAATTCAGTTGGAACAGCAGGCAAGTGACAGGGCTCCTGAAACCCCTGAGGTGGCACACAGAACTTTACAAGGAGTTGGGTTGCAAGAGAGAAGATGGGGATGTGGGACAAAGCCAACAGAAGACACACTGGTAATTTGGGACTTCTACCATTTTTATCAGGACATACATTCAGAGGAATTTCCTGAAAAGATTGACTGTTTGGTATCACTAGCTAAACCTCAGGTCCTCCATTCACTTTACTTCATATTCTAATTCTTGACATCATGACAGCCCTGATTTTACAGTTTGTGCTACTTTTGAGTACAGGAGACCGTGAAGGATAAATGCAAATTTCAAGAGAGCTTGTTCTGTCAGCTGCCAGTATTTGCTATTTGGGCTCTGCCATGCACTGTACATACCTAAAAAAGGATCACARTTGAATAGYTTTTATGCCAAGTGTGCTTCATTRAATTGCACGGTGTTARGTCACAGAATCACAGAATAGGCTGGGTTGTTGGAAGAGATCCTCAARGATCATTGAGTCCAACTCCTGGCCCTGCACAGGACCATGTCCAAACATCACATCATGTACCTGAGAGCATTGTYCAAAAGCTTCTTRAGCTCTGTCAGGCTTGGGGCTGTGACCACTGCCCTGGGGAGTCTGTTCCAGAGCCCAGCCACCTTCTGGATGAAAAATCTTTTTCTGTTAGCCAATCTAAACCTCCCAACACACTTCAGGCCATTCCCTCAAGTCCTGTTACAGATCCTTCACCACAGAGGAGAGATCAGTGCCTGCACCTTCTCTTCCCCTCATGAGGAAGCTGTAGACTGCACTGAGGTCTCCCCTCAGGCTGAACCGACCAAGGGACCTCAGCCACTCCTCATAGGGCTTCCCCTCACAGCCCTTCACCATCCTCATGGCCCTTCGGAATATCCTTTGGACACTTTCTAAGAGCTCAATGTTTTTTTTGTTTTTTTTTTTATGTTGTGGCACCCAAAACTGCCCAGAGCACTCACAGAGGTGAGGCCACCCCAGTGCAGAGCAGAGCAGGACAATCCCCTCTGTGCCTGGCTGTGCCTGATGTCCCCAGGACACAGTTGGCTTTACTGAATTTAGTCCTGATGGCCTCAGGTGTCATCACCTCCTATAATGGTTGTGTCCTCTGCCTCCCTCAGATATGGTAATTCACCCTTTTGTTTCAGGGAGTGCAGGAGTGCATACACAACTCTTAAAGGCATGAGGYAGCATGACCTCCTAAATGGGCTTCTATCTGCAAAAAGCAATATATTTCAGAGAAGACAACATTCTTTGAGGCATGGTCACTTGTTTTATTTGTTTTCAAAGAATCATTAATTTTTTCTGGCCCTGTATGACATCAAAGCAATATATCTTATGGCTTGTAGAATTCACTCCAAGGCATGACAGGAAGAACCCCTCTCAACTGAGGACCAAGAAGATKACATTGATTTAAAAAAGAAAACCAAAAAAATCTTCAACTGTCCTCATATAAGTTGAATAAATTTATATCCCCTAAGGCTCTTGATCCTATAAATCAAGAACTAACAACAATTTAAGATAAAATAAACAGTCTATCTTCCTCTTGGAGAACAGCYAAAATAAGAATATTTGCCATAAACCCTGCTCCTTCCCAAGAATTTAAGTCATTTGGATTAAGGCTTTCAGAGGAATAAAATAAACAACTCTCACTACTGGTAGCCAAATAAACTACACATTACTTTATTACTTTCACTCCATGAGTATGCTGATGAAGGAAAAACAAGTATCATGCCTCTCTACCCAGTCTGTATTCACAGTGAAATTCACAGTGGAACATTGATCATCCTTCTGTACAGTGGACTTCACAGGCATTTGTATGCATGACAGAGAGATTATAAATACCCTCCCTACATTAAGGAAAATTGCCTCCTTGTTTCTAAGGAAGAAGGCATTGCAGGGACACTTCTCTCTGTGAAGAATGCAGTTTTCCCCAATTAATCTGAAAGTCTCAAATATTGATCTTTGTCAGTTCTTCCTCTTAGCTTTTGTARCTTTCTAATTTGTTCTGTATTTACAGAGGAAGACAAATAGTAATCTGAATCCTCACAAAATGAGGGGCTTAAAGGGAAATTTTTGGATRAGACTTCTAATTAATCTGCTGAACTTACATTATGTCCCCATGACGTTATCTGGAGAAAGAAGCKTGCTTCCCTGAGGGGAAAAGAACCATAGGGAGTTTTACTTTGTAGAATGAGCTATGAATCTAGCAYTGAGCAATGACTCAGATTTGGGAAAATAATCTTCTCATATCAATCAACTATTCATATGAAGGTACACAAATTACTGATATAAGTGCTTTTAAAAAGCGTATTTAAACACCATAATTTAATTGTTGTATATGGCAATGWAAGACTAAACCAAAGGACAGGTGGTACTAGAGGGAGGGGTGTGGAGTGAACTTGTCGCATACATAAAGGTGATCAAAGTCTGAGAGATTCAAATTCAAGTTTCATGACCTATTCCTGCAAAGATATTGTTTTGAGATGAACAAGAAACCTGGAAATTCAGGCACAAATCAAAACACTCATTTCAAAATGCAAGATTGCTGCTTGAGGTTTTTGTCAAAGGCTAAACTTGTTCCAGATCATCTGTGTGATAAGGTTGAAATCAGTTTCATGGAAAAAGGAAATCCTGGAAATCTGTAACTTGGAGATGCTTTCAGATGACTCCTGGTCAAAAGTCAAGACAGCACTACAACCAAGGATCCTGCCAGCAAAAATAGTATTCCTCAGCTCAACTTTTAGACCAAAATGACAATATAAAGCCAGACTAGGGAGTCTGAGCTGTACCTTGTCGACGTCGACTGTTGAGTTTCCTAAAGCAGGTGCCCTCCACAAGTCGATTGAGACGTTGCTGCTTGATCAGTTCTAAGATCTCCGGCTGAATCTTCTCTTTTAGTTCCCTTGGGAAGAGAGAAAGTAGGCACTTGTCAAATTCAATCAAAGACTGTCCTCTTTCCTCTGAGACRGAGTCTCACTAGATGTTTCTGCAAGGCGTTTGAAAAGGACATCTGTCACAGACAGAATCTAGTCTGCTCCAGAAAAAAACCCCTTTTTTCATTTAACAAAGAATGGGAGTTGGGACATCTTTGTTATAGACATCTCCCTGCCACAACATCAGTGYATGACTCAGGCAAGTTGTTTTTTTCTTACTTTACTCATTCTAAAAATAACACTTGCTATAATGCATCAACATGGTTTTTCTGCAACAAATAATGCTCTTTCATCACAGGAGCCCTGTGAAGATTATTTGAGGGTCTGTCACCTTTTGTTGCAGCATTTTACATTGGTGTACTTCACCAGCACCRTTATTTAGGACAACACATGAAGGTTAAAACATTTTGAAACAAAATAAAAAACAGGGAGCAATGCCAATGAGCTAAACTAATGATCAGCACTATATTCGTATTCTTAATTTCATATAATTTGATTAATTTATTATTATCAGAATTTGTTGAAGACTAACTCATGACTAGGGATCACTCAAGGATTCAACCTCACCTGTGCCCAGGAGTGCAGAGACACACAATACATTTAGAAATAATCTTATACATCCTTCAGAAAATCCATTTTCAACCTCTTACTTTGATAAGAGTTCAACATGTCAAGAACTAGGCAGAAAACATATGCACATAATATTTAAAGTTTAATTTAATACACCATCACATGGATTCACAGATGTCTGAATTCATCAGTTATGTCCTCACTCAGATTCATTAAGAATACATAAAAGACAGGTTTAAACATCAACTCGACAACAAGCCTAGTAAGATTAAAGGAAAATAACTGAATGTGTAGAGGATTTATAAAATATGAAGTTTGTCAGAACCATAATTTTGCATTGCTGTGCAAATTAGGTAATACCAAAAATCATTCTGTCTGGCAGTATGTTCCAGCAATCATCATCAAAAGGAAGCTAAGCTGTGGTATCCCATAGAGACAACAAAAAATTCTCTCTTCTTGAAAACTTAGGAAGCCCATTCTCTGCTGATTTCCACATTCATTTGGATCCTACGCCTTTGATCTGCCAGACCCCCACTGAAATCACTGCAAATCCTCTGCTAGAAAGATCAGGCCTTTTAAATAAAATGCCCTTTTTCCCTTAGGTATTAGCGAAATGACTGGATGCATAACCCAGTGCATATTTACAAGCTGTGAAAACCTAGCTGGTCAAAAAAATCAAGGAAGTATTGTCACTATAGAAACAGACCATCTTTTGGAAATGTGGTATTAGTACTTTAGGACTTGAATTTTCAAGCACTGTTGTTTTCTCACTGGGATCTAAGATATAAATATGTTGAATGGTTAAACACTGTGATTTGAAGAATCTTCTGCTTGAATAAATGTCTTGCCTTTACTGAGCTGATGAACTTCCCTGTTCCTCAGGTAAAGTGTGAGAGCAGAGGCTGAGGACAACAGTGTTAAAACACAAGTGTGGATTCCTCAGCAGTCCAGACTGCTGACTAAATCTCCATCTGGACTAATTYCAAACATTCAAGAGTGGTATAAAAATCAGTTTGATGTTTGGGTAGTTTAATTGAGAAATGGGATGGTTATCATTAAATAGGTTAACATATTCATAAGACACTACCAAAATCCCCAAAATTAATGGGTCACCCAGCACATTCACATCTGCCTGGTTGCTCATAACATCCCATCTCCYGGCCTCTAATGCCCCACCTGCCCTTTGCAAACCAGAGGAAGAGAAGGATTTTTTAACCAATCCAAAACAAACCAAATAATCCTCTCGAAAATACTTCAGTGCTTAAGGCAGACTTTGCATGGGAGAAGGGGAGGTAAGAAAGAAGGGACCTCTCATCTCCTGGGTTATGTTCTGGAGGCCCTCCACACGCATCCATGTGTTTGCTCTCACAGTCGTGAAGCTCAGTGTGCTACTCTCTTCTGTTTGATGGTCCTTATCACACAGAAGTTGAGGAGAKAACTCATTATTCCATGGAGAAACAGCCTCTGGTAACTCCGGACTTAGTGAACCCCGGTATGACCATCAAGCCCCTGCCATGGTCACTTACAGCCCTTACTGYCCTCAGCAGCTCATGCCAACACATGATTACTCTGACTTGTATGGTTCTCGGCCATTTTTCTGACTCCAGATATATTTTTGCAAGGTGATCCTGCCACTCAGTGCTCCTCACYGTCAAAAGTTTCTGTTCCACCACTTGGATGTGACAGAAATGGGTCAGAAYAATCWAYCCACRGCACAMAAATGAAAGATGYCCTTCTCTRAAACTCTGTATTTCCTTCTRAAAGCCATCTGAAGGCAATAGAGTRCTGTTCCTCATGATCAGTGCCTAAAGACACAAGGGTTAGAAAAAAAATCTTTGTGCAAGAAATAGGACTTTCTGGGTAATTTTAAAATCTAACAGGAACAATGAGCTAARGGAAGATCATAAATGCAAATACATTTTCTGAATATTTATTTATTGCCCCTCAGATGACATTTGCTTAACAGGTTTTGCCTTGTGAAGAGAGGGAACAGAGGAGGAGACAGTGACTTAAAAAACTGCCATTAATTTCCTACTGTGTTTCTGTCACGTAAGAATGCAGAAAGTTAGTGTGCTGGTAAGACAGAAGGGCTGAGAGAAATACATATTAATACATATGATCATTAATTTTGTGGTYTTACCAGTCTAAAACACTGGAAGAACACTAACATCAGTTACTTGTTTTTAAAATATCTGAAAATCATTAGAAATTATTTTTATGTTTTTCACATTATAAAAATTCTTCTTCAGCAGSAGTTAAAAATGTCCCCAGATTTTACCTTTCCAGCTTAAAGTTAAGACTCACTCGACAGTGGTTTTCCTTCTGGGATGGGGCATATTATAGATATATAAATTATTTCAACACAATGGGAGAGTATTCCCAGAACTGGTTTCATGTGTTTTGTCCTTTTACCTATCCGGATTCTAACTATGCTTCCTCTCCTGATCACACATTCAGAACAAGCAGTAGTGACTCTTTCTAACACTGCAGAGAAATATGTAAGATAAAAAACAGAAAAGCATCCAGACACCTTCCTCTCTTTCCCTGTGTGTTGCTGATTTTCACACAGATGTTACTAATATCTCCCTAGTTGACATTAATGCTCCTTTAACCAGCAAGTGCCCGGTTGGATGTGAAATTTTTATCTAGTATTAACCCAGCTTTGATGCCATTTAATTTGTCAAGAAGATCTCTTGTCCTCTGTAGGCCCACAGGACTCCCAGACAACTTCTACAGCCATTCAAAATGAAACTGGGACAGTTCATCATTTCATTATGGAACGGCAGTTTGGATAATCAATAATGATCCCAAATCCCCAGATCTATTCTGAAGGACTTTTTATTTTTCCCAATCAAAAGTAGATATTGATAAAGSTTTATTTCATGTGATACAACAATGCTCATATAAAATAAACAACTAATCCTTGCAAAACAAGGTTGCTGTAGGATCAGGATCGAAGGCAACACTTTCCAGTTTACATGCAAATCCAGCTTCACTCAAGCTTCTCTTATCCAGCAGCTTGAAAGCTTAAAACTCCCATGCTTCATACAATGAATAGCAAAAAAAAAAAAAAGACTTCCATCATGTTCAGGATAGGAAAAAACATCCCCTGATGCCATAATCTCAAGCAGAATTGAACAAGATCTGCTGATGTTACAGTCACCGTTGTGCACAGTCTCTTTTAGCATATCTGCAGGGCTTTAAAATACACAGCACAGCCCCAATTGCTCTTTTCACTCACAGTCTYTTTCCCTACAATGGGGCCATGATTCTGTACTTCTATCAACTGTGCCATCTATGCAATTTGAGAGAGTTCTGTACAGGGAATCAAATCAAAATGCAAAATGAAAGGACTCTTTCTTTTCACAGTTGAGAACAAGTGATCATGGATGTAATCAAAATGCAAATGCATGGAGTTAAATCTCTGCAAATGCAGTTGTGATTGCTTAAACACCTTATCGATTTACTTAGCCTTTATAGCCTTTAGGCTTAGCCTTTGTCCTGAATTTGAAATGATTCTCTGGTAACACTTCAGTTGCTTTTAACTACTTATGTTGGCTGTTTCATTTGCTCCATGATGGGGAAGGAGAATCCATACTGYGGGAGCAACTAGCTGGAGTGACACTGGAAATGAAGAGCTTGCACAGGGCACTGACAAGTCTTTCAATGTGAGGTGATGGTGCAAGAGAATATAAATAATGGACCTGTATCATACTTAAACTGTTGACTTACAGGGAAAGCAGGGAAAATGAGAGAAGCTTTGGTGACAAGCATCACGGTTCTGAGCAGCTTTGAACTGCTAAATGTTGCAGGGGATTTGCAGGGGCTTTCTGAGCAGTGTAATGATGCAAAACTAACTGGAACCATTTGTAGCTTTTTAATTGATGCCTKACTGCAAGTGACATCAGTTTTAATTGGGCATTAGGTTGTGTTTCCTAACACACTGGAAACATAAAAGAAGCATTCCCCCTTTGATCCACTCTGGTATGGTTAACATTTAGTTTGTAATTCTACTTAGCTTATGCTTCCACTGTTGCCCTGCTGTCCCTGGAGGATTGTGTCCCCAGAGCTTGTGCTTAAATATCTGTATTCTTTAGAAACAAATCAGAATTAGTATCCTGCTTCTGAATCCTGAAATGCTCTGGTCCAAATCCATTTCTATACTTTTCCTAGGAAAAGGAGATTTAGAGCATCATGAGCCATCCCACTTGCAACACMGTCAGGATTTCACGACATTTCAGCTTATGCTTTTGGAATCTTCACTATTTCTCTGCTGATCTCAAAGGTCCCTGCTATTCTCCACATATCACTTGTGCAGCATCGAGTCTGCATCAGTCCTGTGCCATCAGTTCAGCCGCAAGCCCAGACTTGGTCCAGAGCCAAGTGCAGCCTCCATTTTTCATGTAACAGAACAAAGAGTATTCTGAGAAATGAGGAACCACGGATGCAATATTAGCCTTTCATACTGTGCAGTAAACAACAAGCAAAGGACTGGCTAACTGCCAGAAYGTTGCTATTTACAAATAAATAAATGACTGCTTGCCATTAACACCAATTTATAATGTTATAAACAAGGACAACTTTTTTGTGCAGTCAGTTTTGTGTGTATTGGCCCCTTTTCTTCTGGATTTCTCCCTATCTTGCTCAGAGAGGTCTTGAACTGAAGACAAAGTTGTGGCATATGATTAGTTGGGTTTTTTTTTTTTTTTTTTGAAAGCCTCTACCAGCATCAAAATCAGGTTCACAATCATCCGGAGCTGGGAAACGTCAAAGCACTGTTTTGTAAATAAGCCATGTGAAATCCTGTTGGGATTTGGCAAATCTGGTTTCACTGAACTCAAGGAAAAAGTTATGATTTCCATCAGAAGAAAACATAATGTACTTTAAGCAGATGCCTCAMTACTGCTTTTGAGCACAGCTCCCTGGACAGCTTTCCTCCCTGGGATTTCCCAGAAGAGCTCACAAATGTCATTCACCCTTGTTAATCCCTCCATGAAAAAATGAGTGGGGAGAGAAGGCAATACTTACAGAATTGGACGAGACTGGAAATCTTCCTGGTTCATTCTTTCAGACTGGCGTATTTTCAGTATTTCTGTGTAACTGAGATTCTGAAGTTTGCTCTTGAATTGATCCAGAGAGCTAGGCTTGGTAGTGAGTGCTCTCATTATCTGTTCTTTCACTACCTGCATCACCTGCAGTTGACAAGGAGAGAAAAAGAACCTGTGTTAACACTTTCTGTGTTTTTGTTTTAAACCTTATTCTGGATCACACTAAGGTTTCTAGGTATAAAAGGTGACAAGTGCTATGTGGTCTCTAGACAACATTTCAGCCACACAACCAGAAAAAAAACCCAACTTCTGACAGCGCATCACAGCCTACATCAAAAGATCATCTGCTCTGTGTAAAATTGGGGTTTTTTTGATGGTGGCAGGGAGCTGCTAACTGGTCCATTGTTTCACTCTTTTTCCCTTACATCCAGAGCTGATGGGCACATACTGGAACACAGGAGGCTCCCTTGAAAAACTGGGAGCTTTTTCACTGTGAGGGTGAAAACTTTCCACTTGGCAAGTTGCCACTTGCTCCACAAGGGGAGCCACTTGCACCAGTTGCCCAGGGGGGTGATGGATTCTCCGTCCTTTGAGATACTCAAAAGCTGATCCCAGGCAACTGGCTCTGTGTGGCCCTGCTTCAGGGAGGGCTGCCCAGATGACTTCCAGAGGTTCCATCCAACCTCAACCACTCTGAGATTCCGTGAAAGCCTTGCAATGCAGGCACATTATGGCCGTACACAGCGAAAAAAGAGAACTCGCTGAAAGAGACCATTAGTTGGGAGAAAGAGAGAGATCACTTTGCCAAAGATATTACAGGATTGCTTTTGAATAAATGCCATAAACAATGCAAACCAAAAAATAAGAATGAGGGATGGCTAGGCAGCAGCCATCTATCCTTCATGATAATTGTTTTTTCAGGAGAAAACTGCTGAGGCACAGTTAACTAAGGAGAATTGCTTGGATCTAGTTCAGATAAMTACATATGAGAGATTACTCTCTGTCTCTGCATAATCTCAGACTCATTTCCTTGGTGATGGTGCAAGTCACACACTTTGAAATGTTTATCTGACGTTGTGCTTAAATTGGCTGAAAGAGCAATTTATCTTACCTAGARAGGTCCATCTCACCCAAATGCCACAGCTAAAAAACAGTAGGAAATTCTAACAGCCCCCTGGTATCAAATTGTGACAACAGAAATCAAAAGTTACGCAAACAGCGGGCAAAGATTTTTCTGTGCTGTTAATTTTCCTTTATTCTTTCTTCACCATGTATTTTAAAACAGAAGCTCAGCCCCTCAAAGGTTCCTTAATAATTCCAAGAACTACTCTTTTTTAGAAATACTTGTTTCACATATTGCCTCAGTCTTCTAACTCATTGCCTGAACTGTTTTCTATTTTTGCTTCCTGTGACGYAACTGCTTTCTCAGATGTGAGCTAAGCACCCATTTTAGCTGTGTCCAGCAGGCGAAACTAAACAACTAAAGAAATGAAGAATTACTTAGTTGGTCTGCCAGTGAGAATTAGCTACTTCCCTACTGAAGGATGAACTCCTGACTGGCACCTGACTGCTTAGAGGAATTAACACCTCCTTCCCTGCATTTACAGTGCACTCACCAGTCCAAGTAAGAAAACTGCCATCACATCTCGAAAATGACAAACCACTGTAAGCCCCAAACAACTTGATGGATCATGCCCAACAAGGTGAGCGGCACAATCCTACTGATTTCACTGGGTCTTGGTTTTATAACTAAAAGGGCTTAAGAAATGTAATGAAGGACATGTCCACAAAGGAAACATCCTCAAAGGAATTGCAGGAAAGAGTGAAACAGATAATTCTAGTGACAAGTTGGATGTTTGAAAATATATTCTTCTTCCTCTTTCTGCCTTCTTGACAATCCTACCTAACAATCCTATACTGCTATAAAAACTATCACTGCCATATCACCTTGATTTTTCAACACTAAAGATTTTCAAGTAAATATAGGACTGCAATCACTTATGCATGCATGTATTTTCAGTTTCGTGAGTTCATTCAAATACCTGAACAGATCTGATTTTTTGTTGCTTATATATAGATTTAGTTTTCTAAATTCAGGCACTCAGAAGAGAGAACCTGTCTCGTATGAGCACTTTTTTTCTTGTAAAAGAAATGGACCACCAAATTAATTAATACTCTATTTTAGGGAGTTGAATGCATGAGGATCTTTCCATCAGACTCTAAAAGAGTCTGATCTCTAAACCATCCACATGAAGCACTGCTCATTCTTGGCTAAACTCTGTGAAGTAGGTTCAAATTCAGTAGATTTGGAACCCTGTCCCTTATGTTTATTTTCAATGCCCCAACTCCCTTCTCTGCAATAAATTTTTGGGGTTAACATGCAAACAATGAAAATTTCTCTTCTTTGCTAAGGTGTGGAAGGTTATTCCCAAGATATCATCAAAGACCTCTTTGGCCTAGAGGCTGCCTTTGCTCCTGAGAGAGAAGGCAGAAGTGTATGCCCCAGGGCCAGCACATGAGGGGACAATCACTTGCCTTGCAATGTTTATAGCCAATACTATTTAACCAGGTGGCCAAAGTGTCAAAGCTGCTGATCGTACTGAGTCTCCTGAGCATTTGGCAATCACTGCCAAGGACTTATAACTTGCTCAATTTCCAAAGCTCAATTTCCAAAGCTGGCAAAGGTTGCCAGCCTTTGATTACTGCTCTCTGAGAGACAGCATCAACCTTTCCTCCTCATGTATCTGACCTTACAATGAAATTAAAGATATTCTCCACTCAATGTGATTGTACATAAACACTGTAGRCAGTTATTTTAATTACAATACGCTTTGCTGCTCTTACTGAGAAGTGAGTGTTTGAGAGCACGCATTTGCTTTAAATCATGTGCTTTTTATGTGAAGACCTCTTGTATGGGTACAAGAATCCAAATTCTGTGTTGCAACTAAGACAGGTAAATTCACTGAAAACATGAAAAGAAAGACAATAGGAAAAAACCAACTTCTTTTCTTTTTAAATTAAACACATAGGACCCTGTTCCCCAGATTTTGTATCCATTTAACATAYTTCAATAATCAGAATCCTGACATTACATATTTTTAATTAAGCTGTTTTAATCTAGTTTTTTGTGTGCTTTGCTTATTTGTCCTCATCTTTGTCATATCATATTCTGACTACTTTGGCTTTCCAACATTTACCCCCTCTCTTTTCTCTCTTGCCAGGACAACTTTTGCCTGTGCAAAGAAAGTCTCTTCTTTTGGGATGGAGCACAAGTCTGAACTTGGGCTCTAAAAYAAGGAGTAAAAATAAAAAGAGAAATTTTTAATATCAAAAAGAAGGGTTTATCAGGGCCAAACTCTACACACAGCTTCTCACTGACCTCATTTCAGCAGCTTGCTTGCAGCTACCMAAAGCACAAACCTCTCTACTCTACTTACCCCATACTGATGCAAAGTTTGCTCTTGGCACTGGCTGAAGAAGACAGGCAGCCCTCTCAGATAACTACCATTAGCCTGCAGGATTGTGGAAACCTAAGTCTGAGCCTTCCACTCACCAGACACACTCCTACAAACTCACAGCATCGATCTTCTCAGAAACWTCCCCTAGAACAGCCTGAAAGTCTGGATGTTCACAACAACCAGTCTGGGGTGCTACCCAAGRGTAGTGGCTTTGCACTGAGAGARGGAAGGTTTAGATTACACATGRGGAARAAATKGTTGYTGTGAGAGAAATTGTTGCTGTGAGAGTGACAAGACACTAGAACAAGTTGCCCAGGGAGRAGGTTGGATGWCCCATYCCTGGAAGTTCAAGGTCAGGCTGGATGGGRCTTTGAGTAACCTGGTTTAATGGAAGGTGTCCCTGTCCATGGTGGTAGGGCTGGAACTAGATGGTCTATGAGGCCCCAAATCATGCTATGATTCTCTGATCTGTGGAGCACCAGGTGAGAGATGACCCCTTCTCATAATTCCCCCACAATATCAATGTTTCACTCAGACAAGCAYGCACTTTGATGTGCAATGACAGCAGCAAGAACACATCTGGATGCCATCAYAGAAGCCTCTAAGTTGTACYTCTGGTACCTTGGGKCACAYGTCACACTGATTGCTGCTGGGTGGYTGGCTCAGGGGGTTGGGTGTGTCAATATGCTGTGCTATTGATCTCAACAGTTCACCTTTCTTCTGCACAGACAGGATTTAGGCATAAATAATCCACATTACAACSATGTGCTTAGTTCAGTGCTTGCCTAATTTGGCCCAACATCAGCAAGTGCTGCAAGGTGTGATTCCCCTGCCTCACTGCAGCATATGATCAAGAGAAGCCACTGAACTGCCCTTCATCTGGACACTCCTCTCTACAACCAGACTTGCAGAACCTGAGATGTGAGAAGTTTTAGGCCCTCATTCACTAGCTTTTTCTCCTGACCATTTAAAAATCATCCAGCCAACCAACAGAGAACTGGGGGAAAGACATCTCTTTGCAAATTGTTTTTAAAAAGTTCATACCTATCTAAAAATTCCTGAAAAGAATTAGCTTGGTCTATATAGATTAAAGCATGCAGGAGGAACTGTCATTTGGTGATTGAGGTCCAGGATTTCCTTCAGTTAAATCCACAAGGCAGGCAAAAACAAGGTTGTAGAATGAAGTAGCCAAATCATTCTTAATGAACAGTGTTTACTGACAAAGGAGGCTGTAAAGAAAATTTAATTCTGAAGGCAAAGGAAATTACTTCAGTTTACAAGCAACCTGTCAACTCCTTTAATGAAAACTTTACATGTTTAATGTGTGCACCAGGTAATTTGAGACATTTTTTAGACCGTTCCAAAGGATAAATTGTTATAACTAGATCAATGGTTATGTTTTCAGGGTACTAAGAGGAGTCATCCTGTGCTTCAGGATCCTTGGAAGATAATTTAATGGTGATTCCTCCCCCCCACCCCCCCACCCCAATCTCCACATATTGCAGTCTATGAATTCACTGCACTAGTCTCTCAGTCACAGCCTGTACCAAATATTCACTSCACATTACTTTAGAATATTAATCTAAACATGCCCTCCTACACAAGCAAATTTAAACTCAGTGCTGGCACAATCTAACCATTGACAAGAGACTCCARAATTCCAGACCATTACTTCTATTACAGTCT